AGGAATGTCCTCCCTGCCACCACACACAATACCCTATCAATTCCCTCTGCCCTCCCACCACCAGTCCCTGCTTCACACCCAGACCTCATTCTTGCCCAATTTCAGCCTGGTTTGATTTTTTCCCCCTCATTTTTCTAACTCCCCCTGGCTGAACACCACCAGGGACAAAGAATAAACCCCCTTTCTGCTCGTTTCCCCCAGCAGATGCAGGAGCCACACTCTCCACCACCCACCTGCAGGTCACTTGGAGGTGTTAAATTAGAAGAAGGGGGCTGTCCAAGCAATTCTTTCTTTCACTAGGTCCTTGTCAGTGATTTCTCCAAGTTTACAATCCAAGCTGGGGAAAGAAGGATGAGCAGAGGGAAAAAACACCAGCTAGAACTGCAGGCACCAAAGCACCCCCAAGAGAAACCACTCCAGACTCCAAGAGTTGCACAGGATCAAGAGTTACCTTTATTAGCCCTCCAGCATCACTGCCCTCAGCACCTTCGAGATGAGATGGACCTTGTGGTTCCCAAAGTGGTTCCCTGGCCAAGCATCAGGGGCTGAAGGGCTGCAAACCTACCCAAGGAACAGGATTCACAGCTCCTCCCTCGTGCCTGGATTTTATGTCTAAATAAAAACCAGCCATAAAGCCCAACTGTGTGTGTCTTGCCTACAAGCCCAAACGGGACACTGGGAAGGGTTGGTAGAAACCAAGAAGGCTCAGCAAGCCCACGTGTCACCACTCTGGTGAACCCCCCCCTTCCCAGCAAAGCCAGGGTGGAAAAAGCCAGGAAAAGCCAGGACACCAGCCCTGTGTCCTCCCCAGCACAACCAGAGCATTAAGGAGACCTCCTGGCAAACCACAGCAGCAGCTTCCCTACTGCTCAGCCAAGCAGGAGATGTCAGGAGGACATCCCACTAATAAAGGACCCCTAATGACCCAGGCTTAGAGGGATTTTATTCCACAGATGGCAGCCCTGAGGCAGCAGCTGCAATGCCAAGTGATGCCACGAAATCCTTGCTTGCTGGGTCACCTCTCCTAAGGCCAGAAATCCACCTCGATTTGTGCAGATAAATAAAAAAATGGTACTTTTTGTTTGTTAAGACTGGAAGTTTTAAGTGACTTTTAAAAGCTGGTCCCTTCTGGGTGGCCCATCATTTTGGGTGGCACAGCAGCTCAGCCCTCTGAGAGCATCTGGAGACCATATGCTGCCTGTCTACCCTAAACGAATGAGCTTTCTGCTGTGAACATCCCACCAGAGCCTCTCTGAGACCTCTCCCTGGCTCTGGGAGGCCCCTTTCCCACCCCAGATTTGAAGGCACCTTAGGTTAGGACCTCTGAGCATTCTGCTCTCCCTGAGGTTCTGCAGCAGACAGGTAAGTTGGTGTCCACAACCATCACACCATGGGCACAGGAGGACAAAATGCTCTCAGGTTGGCCACAACACACAGCTCTGGCACTAGCAGCACCGTGCTGGGGCTGGATGATCCCCCCCCCAACTTCAGTCTCCTTTGGAAACATGAAACATGAGCAGAGGTCCAAGTGGAGAAGTTTCCCTTTTTTGTGGCATGAATGTCTGAAATCCTCCCCAAACCCAGTGCCCTGCTCCCTGGCATGGCTCCTATCACCTCCTGGACCTTGCAGGAAGGTGCTCCAGGGCTCAAATCCCCCTTGAGCTCCATGCCACCAGCACAGCTTGAGGAAGGAGGGGTCCTGCTCCCCGAGACCACCAAAACACTCCAGCTCCTAACGCTGAGGGAGCAAAACCCAACCAAGGTGCCATCAAAAGCCCCAGTGTGGTGACACCAGCAAGCCACCTGTGCCCTCTGGCACTGGGGTGAGGGACAGCTCAGCTTTCCTGGTGCTTCCCTGAGCTCCCTGGGGAGGACTTGGGCTTTCATTTTTGGTCCCTTAGCTCCGGTTGAGCTGCTGAGTGACAAAGGTCCATCAGGACCTGCCAAGAACAGGGGACACCCCTTCCCAGAAGGAGGACTTTCCCTTTGGATCTAACTCCCTCCCCCCACACTCCACAAGACAGGCAGCTCGCCCCAAAACCACAGTGTGCCTGGCTTTCTTTTTTTTGGGGGGAAAAAAACAACCCCTCAATAAACTGAGGGCATCCTCCCCCCATTGGCTTCTCCTCTACACAAGGTGGACAATGAGAACGGAGCAAGCAGACCCCACTGCCAACCCCAGCATGAGGTAAAACGTCATCACCACCCCTGCTGCCTCAGCCAGCTCCTTTGGCAAAATCTTGGGGCCATAGACCATGACCAGTGTCCCCAGGTAGCCATTGCTCAGCCCCAGCAGGGCGGTGAAGACCACCGGGTAGACGTCTCGGTTGAAGGCCACCACCTGAATGTGAGCCCGGGGTTGGTAGTTGCTGAGGATGAAGAGGGGGAGGAAGATGGTCCTGAGGAGGACGAGGACGGGCAGCAGCTTGCTCTTGGGGCCAGGCACCTGGATCCAGGCAGTCACTTGCCTCCCGCACCAGTCGGCAAAGTTGTAGAGGAGGAAACTGGTGAGAGGTGCAAAGTACTTGGTGCTCCACGGGCTGCCCGAGGCCTTGCTGACTGACTCAATGTTGGAGGAGAGGGAAGGGAAGATGATGACGGAGATGAAGAAGACGTAGAAGAGGCAGAAGCCCAGGAGGGCAGTCTTCTGCAGGATGGGGCGGAGAGGGGGGATGCTGCTGCTTTTTGGGATGAAGGTGGTGTCTGTGCTGTCTCCTGGCTCTGCCTCGTCCTCTGCAGAGCTGTCAGGTGGCACAGTGGCCAGAGATGGGCTCTCCTTCTGGCTGCTCAAGTAAAACCTGGAGAAAAAAGAGAAGGAGGGACATGATCAGCTGAGGTCTGGAGAGAAGTGGGCGATGGGATGTCCGCTGGACCCAGCAAAGGCGGTTGCAGCAACCCCATCAGACCTCCAGCTCCTGCCTTGTATGGAGAGGTGACCCTCAGGGACCCTCTTCCCCACAGCAGGGTCCTCTTCACACCCTGATCAGTTCACAGGGGGGACCCACTGCACAGGCAGCACTTGGGGGAGCATCTGGTTTAGGAGGCTGCAAGCACCAACATGAGCACAGGGGTGGGATGGCAGGGCAGGGACAGGCACAGCAAGCATCCCGTGGGTCCCCCCTGGGCACGGCCAGCAGCAAACCCTCCCATCCCATCCTGGTGGGATGCCTGCAGGAGGCCGAGACACACACCTGGAGTATTCCAGCCTGGGAAGGAGGAGGTAGACCATGATGCAGACGACGATGAAGATGTCGGCGGTGAGGAAATAGGCCAGGGCGCTATCGGTGACATCGGCTGCTGCTGCCAGGTCTATCAGGGAGGCAACAGCACTGATGGTGCCACCCATGGCCTGGCCTGTGTGGGGGACAGGAGAGCTCAGTGCCTGGGGCTGAGCCAGCCCGGACAAAGCGAGACACCTTGAGGTGGCAGAGAGTGACCCACAGCACCTTCCATGAGGACGGTTCCTCTTGGATGCAGAGGAAGAAGCCAGACCCAGCAGTGTCCTCTTGTCCACAGCTGGTGTGCACAGCTCCCCCAAGGGTGGCATCTCAACCCATAGCCCCACACACTGGTCCCCAAACCAAGCTCAGGACCCATCCCATCTCCATTTCCACATAACCACCTCTCTTCTGCACGGCCCCAGATGGGAATTCAAGCCACCAGCGACATCATCTTGGGGATGCCTAGATTTCCCCACCAGGTTAAACCCATGAAAAACCTGGGAATCCTTTCTCCACCTTGGGTTTTTCTCCCCCCTTTCCCTCTCTGTTTGTCAGCCATTCCCCAGCACATTCATGACATGATCATCACTCTCCCAAGTCACCCCTTGTGGCTGGTGGAAACGCTGAAGAGAAAGGAGGAGACAACGCAAAGTTGAAGGTTCCTCCAGCTGCAAACAGAGGGACGTAGCTCCTTCCTCCCCTTCTCTCTGCACAGGACAAATGACCAGGTCAAGCTGCCATGCTGGGCGGAGCTGCTCTGAAGGGTGCTTGTCCCCTGGGCAGGGATGGGGAGAGACCACCACTCTCCTCATCTCTGCTGGGTGTTTCCAGAAACCAGAGCACCAGCTCATGTGACTGACCACGCTTCTCCTTCAGCCACTTCCCCTTATCTCCAAGGCAAAAGTCAAGTTTCTAAAATAAACCCCCTCAGGAGGGAAAGGAAACCATCCCCCCCCCAAGCTCCAGAGAACACCCCAAGTGCACAGTCCCACC